CAAAGACACCTAAATCTTGGATGCCCTTGAGGTAAGCTAAAAGACATAAAAAAATTATTTCAAAGTGTGGGATCCTCACATTCTCTAAAGATTGGTTATGATCTACCGTTAATTAATTATATCAATCTTAAAATCAATCCTAAAGTGTTGTCATACCTGCAAACTTGGCACATTTATAAATAGCAGGGTAACAGCAATATTTCTGCTGTTCTATATGTGCCACCTACTGGCAGAGTGTGGAATTGCATTTTCATTTAGCCTGTGGATTAAAGCAGCATTTTGCTCTCGGGGTCCCCCTACAGTTGGGAAACAGTATTGTCGTCTACTACTGTCGTAAAATCTGTCATGGTTACACTAGGGAATACATGCGTGCATTTGTTGACAAGCAATACCCCCGAACTCTGCAGAAGGAAGGAGTTCTCACATCCTGGGCAGAGTGAAACATCTTCATCCCAGGTACATTTTTTTTTTTTTCAAAACACCAAAAGATCACGTGGCTCACGTTTACAAGTCAGCGCCTTTATAGTAGCCTATTGGCTATTGTTTCATAAAATGGATATGCTAATTCAGTTCAATGTTTGTTGGTAGATAATAGCCATATCGTCAGTATTATAATATCAAGCTACCATAGATGAGTCTGCAAATTTGAAAAAATCGATTTGCATTATAGCCTGAGGCAAGACACTTTCACCTGAAAAATATATAATAAACATGACTATCAGCCTGCTATCCTTTTATTGTGTCCGTCTAATCATGTATTATTTACTTGCAAGAATGTAGCCCCTACCAAACTTCTAAACTTGTACACACCGTTAAGACATAGGCTTACTGATTTATTTAGTTTTTGACTGCCAGCATCGGTCGGGCACCCGTCCTCCCCCTTTAGCTCACACCAGCGAGTGAACGCTGGACCAATATTGATCATTGTCCTGTGTTTTATTTGGTCACTCTCCGTTTTCTCTTTCTACTGTCCTCCGAGAAAACCTTTGGCTTCTTGACTTTACTTGCTGCTTCAGCCATGACAACATACAGCGGTAAAAAAAAATGCTCGTTGGGATCTCGCGTCGGAATTTGAGGAAGTGATGGATGCCGTAAAGCAGTCGAATTTTGCAGTTCTTTTTGTAGTTCTTTTTGTGCTCGGGTTCCTAGCGATACAGACCACTTCAGGATATGGCAGACCTGTCATTCAACGTATTGAAAGTGTTTTGGAAAAATATTATAAAGGTTGAAAAAGTTACATAGTGCTGCTTTAAAAAGAAGCTTATGAGCATTCTAAAAATCTAAATCTCTTAAATAATTAAAATGGATTAAAGGCTCAAATGTAACATTTATCATTTTATGGTTTGGATGTTACGATATGGTATTCATTTTATTTGTGCAGGTCTTAAAAAAAATGCCTTATAAGCTTTAATTTTGATACAGATACCCTACACTCAATACTATATATCAAAGTAACATTGTAGTAATGTGGTAACACATTCTTCTGGTAGCATAACTGTACTATGGTATATCACAACTGTACTTTTTGTGAGAAAACACCAACATAATATTATACAATCACAGAGATTATCCTTAGTTGTACTGTGTCTGTCTCCAATGAATAACTCTGCCATTCTGATTTTAGGATCCTTTTTATTTCCCTCAGTTTGCTTTGTCACAGCCGAGAAAGCAAATGAAAATGCAGAAAGCCGATAAGTCAAAGGAACAGCTGGCGTCGGAAATGGAAAGCGATTTTAGACTCATGCTGATGATGATGAAAGAAGAAAAATATGTTGTAAGCACAGAGAAATGCAGCTGAAGTCCTTGTTCTGTGCAAACACAGATGTTTTTATCAGATCTACAACAGTAAACACACTGAAATTGACTTTAAAATACTGTTGACCGTTAAAATTGGAATAAAACGTAAATTATTTTGGTTGTACATGATCACAGCTGCAAGTACTGTCTTTCAAAAGTTGTGAGTACAATGAATGCAATGTGCGGTGGAACGTTTATGTCACATTCCAATTTGTATTTGTGGCAAATTGGTTTATCCGGACAGTTTTGTAAAAGAACAGATTCCAAAAAGTTTTGGAGATTCAGGGTTTCAAGTTTGATGTTAATTCAAAATAGTGTAACGAGTTATAATAAGTTCAGTCCAAGTTGAATGTATTGTTGTTTCACAAAAATCCTTATTTTATTACTGATTTATTTCCGGTGTTTTTTTTTTTTTTTTTTGCTAAATTGCTAAATATGCTGATTCTGAGATTCACTCTTTAAGAGACTTTTATTTTGACATATTTTCTTGCCGCCGTCTTGGTGCCATTTTGGAGCCTACTATATGATATGGAGAGAAGGTTTGTTAATTAGAATATCTAAATTAGGGATCAAAGGAAGAATATTTAGATGGATTGAGGACTTTTTACAAGGAAGATTGATACAAGTTAGAATAGGGGAGAGT